TAGCGATCAGGACCACTAACACACTTAATATCACCTTCAAGTAGAATCGTCTTAGCATCCTCATCTAAGGATAGTCATCATAAGGGCACTAGATTGTGATATGATTGGGCATCTACTGAAAAAAAATTATATTGAGATGTAAAATTATTACATGAAATGAGTGAAATGATTTTAAAAGTTGCTGGAGAAATCAGAAACAACTTTTAGTAAGTTACTGCTTTTCTGTTGTTTTAGGTTGGCTTTAGAGTGTGGTGAAGGGTACTTTTCATGGTGCATGGAAGGAAAGCCAATGCGCAGGTAGGCATTTAGGAAGAAACACATTGGTTTCACTGATTGAAATTTAATGTGTAATTGCTTCCTTTAAAATGTTTTTATTCACAACCTTACTAAATTCTACTTGGAATTAATGATTCTTGTTCTAAAATAAATCAAAGCTACTATCAGAAACTAACAGCTTTTTAATGAAATGTAGGATAGATTTCTAAAGAGATTTTTCATTTTATGTGGTTCTTAATACTTAAATTTGTCTTTTGATATAGTAATTTTTTTCTTACACATAACCATTAAGTGTACCATGCTACTATGTGACTTTATTGCAACTTTAATTCCCTGTAGAATGTAGAGGTAAAATTGATAGTTATGGTTTTGCTTATTTCACTGATGTCCAATAAAACATTTGTTATGTTTATTAAAATAGCTGCATTGCAGAGAAGATTAAGGACATAGAAAAATAGAAATATGGAGGAAATATGGGCAAATATACAATTTAGTAATGCTTTTTCTCAATTTGTTCTAACAAATAAGATTAGAATCTTTATAGAAACAAATTAGTTCTATTTATTCATTATTTAAACTCATTTTATGATTATTGAATTCTTTTTAGTCATATATTATTTAACATCAAAGATAAACAACTTAGAGATCATTTAAGAGAAGAAACATTTCACTATAAGGTAGGACTTAGAAGTTAGAGAAGGGGTAGACATGGTGGTACAAGCCTGTGAAATCCCAGCACTCTGGAAGCAGAGGCAGGAAGATCTCATGTTCAAGTAAATGAGGGAGAGAGGGAGAGAAAGAGGGAGAGATTGAGAGAGAGAAAGACTTGAACCAGAATATATGTCCTTTTCCAGATCTGTTATTGACTTATCAGTTGACCTTCAGTTGTTCTACCTTCTCTGTGCCCCAATTCTCTGATGTATCTGCCCAGGACATTCAGAATTGGTAAATGTTCACAAATGCTTTAACATCTCCAAATGAAAGATATTATAGAGGTGACATTCCATTATCTTACTTATATCTTATCAATAGTAGGAATAATATTAGACTGTAAAGTACTAGAAGAAACAAACTACACATGTATTATTAAATGCTTCACTTCATTTTCTACCATGATCAGAAAAACCACGGATTGCATCTCATCCTCAGCTGCCATACATGTCATATTTTATGTAATTGCTAGAATAAGACTTCTTTTTTAAAGGAAAATTAGAGTGTAGAAATGTTTTTAGTTTATTAGTAATTTCCATGTAAAATATTCACTTAATCACTCAATCTGAGGGGATTTTTTGCTTGATTTATTATAACCGTCCATAATTCAAAATCATGTTAGATAATTCTAATGCCATTAATTTTTGACTTAAAACTCGTTGTCATCATCACTTGGCCAGAGGCCAGCCTACCCAGTGTTCTCTGGTCTTACTTTCACCTGCTGCCTACATTAAGTTATGGCCATGTTTTCCTATCCTTTCCTTGTTGGACTGTCATTTTTGCTGCTACAATCCGGAAAGTAGACTCAGTAAAGTGATGCTGACTTTATAATCAGCTGCTACTAAAGAAACTTTGAATGAAAGTAACTCTTTATGTTGTGATTATTTGAATGCATGTTCATTCTCTCTAACAGACTGTTGAGTTTTTAAGTCACATAACACCCATAGCACCTAATGATTACTGAATAATTATCATGCCCATTCTTCTGTATCTTTACTTCACAAATTAACTTGTAGGCCAGTGTGATGGCACATTTATGTAGCCCCGACACCCAGGAGACTGAGGCAAAAAGATTCTGAGTTTGAGGCCAGCCTGGACTACATGAAGCCCTGTATCAAAAAGAAAAGCAAAGCTTGAGAGGTGAGGCAGCCATCTTGAGCCAGGTTAAGCTGAGAATTAGCCGAAGGGCAGTGTATACAGAGAGGAACAAAGCAAGCTTGGCCATGATATTTTGTACACACCACACTTACAACCAGGTCTACAGTGAACATCCTTGTATAATTTTTGCCCAAGTACGTGTAAGCATAAATTTCTTAGATCCAGAATTGCATAGTCAGAATATGTACATTTAAATTTTTTGATAGATATTGACTGATTTCCTTCCTGAGAAGTTGATGATGATTTTTTTTAATTATCAACTTGACACAATCCAGAATCAGTTGTGAAGAGAGTCTTATAAGGGACCATCTGGATCACATTCACCTATGGACATGTCTAAGGGATTGTCTTGATTGTATATATTGGTGTAGGAAGACTAAACATGGGCAGCACTATTCCCTGGGTTTGAGTCCTGGACTGTGTAAAAGAAGAGACATTTTCTCTCACTCTCGTTCTCTCGCTCTCACTGCCCCCCTCCACTTGACTGTGGATGTGACTAGTCTTGATTCCCCCACAGTGATGAACTGTTGCCTGGAATTGTAAGCCAAGTAAACTCTGTTTCTTAAAGTTGCTTTTGTTAGGGTGTTCTATCACAGCAGCTGACTCTTATAATCTTTCCTCTCTCTCGTCCTCCATGTTCCCTGAGACTTGAGGAGTGGGTGTAGTATAGATGTCTCATTTGTGGCTGAGCACTCCACAGTCATTCATTCTCTGTACTTTGACTAGCTGTGAGTTTCTGCATTACCCACCATCCACTGCACAAAGAAACTTCTCTGATGAGGTCTGAGGGTTGTGCTAATCCTGGTTCAAGATTGGTCCACCCCCTGGGTCTGCAGCAACAGTTGAAGCTACTGATATATGTAGAATTTCACCAGTGGTTGTGGGCATAACTAGGAGTTAAATCCAGTCCCCATCCTGGGTCTACAGCTTTCTCTGAAGCCACTATAAAACGTGGCAGGTAATCCTGGTTCAAGACTGGTCCACCCCCTGGGTCTGCAGCAACAATTGAAGCTACTGATAAATGTAGAATTTCACCAGTGGTTGTGGGCATAACTAGGAGTTAAATCCTGTCCCCATCCTGGGTCTACAGCTTTCTCTGAAGCCACTATAAAACGTGGCAGTAATTTTTAACATTTAAGCAAAAAGAAGGGAGTTATAACTGGAGATGAAGATCAGTGGTAGAGTGTTTGTCTTTCCTGTGTGTGGTGCTTGGTTCAATCCCCAGAGCTGAAAAAAAGTGGGGGGAGGGTGAAGGTGAGCAGTGGGTAATTAATGAAGAAGTGCAGAAGGAAGAGCTTGTGGTGGAAGAAAGAAAACACCAAGACTCAAGTGTCTGAGTTGTATGCAATGTTAATTATATCCAAAGTATGCAGTATGCAAGGGAAGAAGGGCAAACAAACATTGTGAAAATCAAGACTGTAAACATGGGAAATAGCGTGGCCTTTATTAGTTTATATTTTAGGAGTCAATGGACATTAGCAAACAGGTCAGATTTGTTTGGGCTGATTTTTAGGCACATTTGGGGATGGGCAGGAAATAGGAGGCAGTAATAGGAAGGAAATGATTACTTGGGCTAGATTTGCATTGATGAGAATTGAGGAAAGAAAAATCAAGAGCTTATTTAACAGTAAAGCAAAAATACTTGGTAAATGTGAAGTGAAGAAAATGTAACAATATATATGACTCCAAAGATTTCAGCTTGGAAAATTGGGTACTGCCCTGATGTAATAAAACACATAGAAAGATGAACAGGTTTCAGTAAGCCTATTCAAGAGCAGATTTCCATACATTTTAGAAATATTGTGTCTGAGAAACAGCAAAGTAGCAATATCCAGCTTATAAGTGGATTGTAGGTACGGGGAGAAGGATTTATGCTGAAACTTAAACTTAATCGGCCGTGAGCCAACCAATATGCAGAGGTTCTTCAATATAGGTGTGAATGAGAAAATGGAAAATAACACCAAGGACAGGACCCTACAGGTACATTGGGTGTTTACTGGGTGTTCGAGTAGGGCCTAAGAGGAAAATGCAGTAAATATTCTAAAAAAAATGAAAGGCTTTAGGTGCAATTTCTTATTTATTCTAGCTAATCTAAGCTGTATGCTTAAGGGACTAGAAAGATGGCTCAGCAGTTAAGAACATTCTTGCAGAGGACCTGGGTTCAGTTCCTACCACCACATGGCAGCTTATAGCCCTCTATAACTGCAGTTCCAGAGGATCCAATGCCCTTTTCTGGCTTCCTTGAGCACTGCATGCATGTGGTACACATATACACATGCAGGCAAAACAGTTATACACATAAAGTCAAAAATAAATAAAATTTAAAGTGGATGCTTAAAAATAGTAGGAGATCTGCATACTTTTGACTGTTTCCCAATGTACCATGTGTACACTGTAGGTTGTCTTGAACACGAACCACTTCTCTTTATTGGAGCACAAGAAAATTAAATACTGTGCTGGATTTCTTAGTCTTATTTTCAGAGATTGCTTTGTTACCCAATGCTTGCTTCCAGCAAGGTGTTGAGAGATTGCTGAGGGGCACTCTGGGTATATTTTTGCTTTCCTGCCATACAGGGGCACCAGTTTGCTTGTATGGCTGCTTATCCTTCCTTTTTCACTTTGCCTTGATCACTGGAGTGGAACTTCTCATTTTACCCAGTAAGCACTAATGAGATATCTTGGAACTCAACCATTCATAAACTATTTTCTCATTTTAAAAGTGGTAGCCAGAGTGAGGTATGGTGGCACACACCTTTAATCCCAGCACTCAGGAGGCAGAGGCAGACAGATCTCTGTGTGTTCAAGGACATCCTGGTCTACATAGCAAGCTCCAGGCCAGCTGAAGCTACAGGGAAACCCTGTCTCAAAAAGACCCGCCCCCCAAAAAAGACAGCCAACCTTTCTGGTATAGAATCAGATAGAAAATCTAGTGTCTAGTGGATGCCCTCTGGCATGCAGAAACAGCACTTTGGGATATTATCTTTGTTTTGAGAATTTGTTTGCTCAAATTTCTATTCAAGAATGTTTTCAAGTAAATAAAGATCTGGTGAAACAAATCTTAAAAGACAGATTATTCTTTTCCAAAAATTAAAAAATGAAGTATTGGGGGTTGAACACAGGGCCTTACATATGCTAGTTAAGTGCTATACCACTGAGCTAGATACATAGCCCAAACAAAAATTTGAAGGATTAAAGGAGATGTGTGCAAGCCTAAGAAACATTCCATATATCTTTGGAGAAGATTAACCTTGAATATAAATGCTTTAGAATCAAAGAGTGTTGCTTTCTAAACTTTTTAATGTACCTGTTTTTAAAATTATCCACTTGCTGGGCACTGGAAAGATGGCTCAGAAGTTCAGAGCACTGGATGCTCTTCCAGAGGACCCAGGTTCAGTTTTCAGCACCTACATAGCAGGCTCTCAACTTTTCTTCCCTCTTATCTCCCCATAGAGAATTTTGTTAGGCCAACAAAAGACATGAACTTTTGTAGTTCCAGTGCTGAGGGACATAAAGAAGTCTGTAACCTTGCAAGTGGTGTCAGATTAAAAAGTTTGTCACTTCCAGCATCTTTAAAAGGTAAAGAAAATTTAACTTGCATTCATTTTTTCAGTAGATTCTACTTTTGCCTCTTCTAGGATCATTACACAAAGAGAAGAAAGGTTATAGCATGGGCCCGATTCATATTTGTTTCGTATTACCCCAGGTGGTCAGAAGGTTCCACAGTGTGCTTGGGTATCCTACTTCTAATTAGGAGCTTCCTTCTCTCTGTGCCTATTCTAGATTGAACAAATGCCTGTTCAAATGCATAAAAGAATGAAATGTAAAGAGCTGGGGAGGTGGTTCAGTTAATATTAAGTGTCTGCTGTGCAAGCATGAAGACCTGAGTTCGATCCCCAGCACGCACTTAAAAAAAAAAGTGAAAGTTGGGATCGGAGCAATGGCCTCTCTGACACTTGCTAATGCTATAGAGATGATAATGTTTCTCATGGGAATAAATGAATCTCTGGGACAGATAGAGAGAAACCTTGTTGCTGGGCAGGTCCAGGAAAAAGAAGAACCAGTGAAGACAGAGGAGGGGCATCTGGAGATGTTTACAATGCACAGGCTTGGGAGACCTGACTACAATGACCTCCTGTGACCTCCCCTCACACACCCTTGTCACCCTTTAGCACAAAATCAAACACTTTGAAATCAATCTTATTCTTGCTGTGTACTTTTTTTAAAAAATATTTTATTTATTATTTTTATTTTATGTGTATGAGTGTATTGCCTGCATGTATGTGAATGCACCCGTGTCGTGCAAAGCTGCGGAGGTCAGAAGAGGCTGTTGGATCCCCTGGAAGTGGAGTTACAGACAGCTGTTAGCTGCCATGTGGGTATTGGGATTCAAATCCCGGTCTTCTGCAAGAACAGCTAGTGGTCTTAACCACTGAGCCATCTCTCCAGCCCCAAGAAATTACTTCTTTTGATTTGGCTTAGCTAGGTTTCTACAAACAAGAACTATAGTGCTGGACAGTTGTCTATGTCGATAATGCATCAAATAATGATAGGTAATTAGTTCCCCATTGTGTGGCTTTTCACCCATAGAAACCTCTCTGGTCCAGCTGGATAGCATGAGCCTTTCCCAGCAGATGCTGGTGAGATGCGCTGCCATCACTGGTCTGACAACAGAACTGTTGTTTGAAATTCTCCCCTGCTGGAACATGAAGATGATGAACAGGGCCCTGGCCACCATAGTGAAATCAAATGTTTTTTATTGCTTCTGGAATGGCAAGGATCTTCAATTGGCCCTAAAACAGAATGTGTCCACATTTGAGGTGCATTATGGCTCCATGGCCGTGAGGCCCAGTGAAGGGTTGGGTGAGTAGTGCCTACAAAATGTCAGTATTTTCCCTTGGTTAGAGGCACGCCTAGATTAAAGAGCTGAGGGGACTGGAAATACAGTCCAGGGATAGAGCACTTGCCTAACATGCACAAGGTCCTGGGTTCAATCCCGAGTACTGCAATTAAAAAAATCTATCAGAAATAAAGAGGTGATCTGTGTCAAGTACCAGCAGCTGATTGGTTGTTGACTGCCTTCCTGAAAAATCTTTCCTGTTCTTTCCAGCTCACTGTGAGGAGGAAGAACTCCATGAAATGGAGGGAGAGTTGATGGAGTGCCACATCCTTCTCTTCTGTAGACCTGTGATGCAGAAAACAGCCTATGAGCTGTGGCTCAAGGAAGAGAAAAAAAGTCCTGCATTTGAAATGTGCCCATCGATGCAACCACTGCCGAAACAGAGACTTCAGTCCTTATCACCACTTCATAGTGGACGTTCGACTCAACACTTTGGGCATAGATACAGTTAAGAAGATGGCAAAGTCCCAAGGATTTAAAAGTAAACTTGCTTCCTTCCTAACCAATCGCAACTCTTCCTGGGAAGTCTGGAGATTAAACTCTAGAAGGAGTGGATCTGGACCTTGAAGGCTTCAAGTTCCCTGGGGGGCTGGGGCAAAACAGCAGCACATGTCCATGGGAAAGAGCAGTGTAGAGCTTGCGATACACCTGAGATAGCAGAATTATTGTCACTGTTACTTCCAGAGAGGATTTGGCCACACAGGGCTTTGGCAAATAAGGTGTGATGTTGCCGGGCAGGGGGGGTCTCAATCTCTCTTTTCGCGGCTGCGGGTGTAGGCGGCTACAGATCAGCAGGTCCGCGGCTGCGGTGGGGGCAGGCAGGCTCTGTAGGCGGTTGCGGGCGGGCTGGGTGTCAAGCTGTAGGGGGCTCTGCGTCAAGCTGTAGGGGGCTCTACGCCAAGCTGTGGGAGGATCTGGCCGGCTGCGGGAGTAGGCGGCTACAGATCGGCAGGTCCACGGCTGTGGTGGGTGCGGGCAGGCTCTGTAGGCGGTTGTGGGTGGGCTCAGTGTCAAGCTCTTGGGGGCTCTGCGCGAAGCTGTGGGAGGCTCTGGCCGGCTGCGGGTGTAGGTGGCTACAGATCGGCGGGTGTAGGCGGCTACAGATCGGCAGGTCCAGGGCGGCGGTGGTTGCAGGCAGGCTCTGTAGGCAGTTGCGGGCGGGCGCTGTGTCAAGCTGATGAGATGCGCTGCCATCACTGGTCTGACAACAGAACTGTTGTTTGAAATTCTCCCCTGCTGGAACATGAAGATGATGAACAGCGTCCTGGCCACCCTAGTGGAATCAAATGTTTCTGATTGCTTCCGGAATGGCAATGATCTTCAATTGACCCTGAAGCAGAATGTGTTCACATTTGAGGTGCATTGTCGTTCCATGACCCTGAGGCCCAGTGAAGGGTTGGGTGAGTAGTGCCTACAAAATATCAGTATTTTACCTCGGTTATAGGCACGTCTAGATTAAAGAGCTGAGGGGACTGGAAATACAGTCCAGTGATAGAGCACTGGCCTACCATGCACAAGGTCCTGGGTTCAATCCCGAGAACTAGAATTTAAGGAAAAATAATCTATCCGAAATAAAGAGGTGATCTGTGTCAATTAAGAGTAGCTGATTGGTGGCTGACCGCCTTCCTGAAATACCTTTCCTGTTCTTTCCAGCTCACTGTGAAGAGGAAGAACACCATGAAATGGAGGGAGAGTTGATGGAGTGCCACATCCTTCGCTTCTGTAGACCTGTGATGTGGAAAACAGCCTATGAGCTCTGGCTCAAGGACCAGAAAAAAGTCCTGCATTTGAAATGTGCCCATTTATTGGAAGAAAGTGCTCATCGATGCAACCACTGCAGAAACAGAGACTTCATTCCTTATCACCACTTCAGAGTGGACGTTCGAATCAACACTTTGGTCATAGATACAGTTAAGAAGATGGCAAAGTCCCAAGGATTTAAAAGTAAACTTGCTTCCTTCCTAACCAATCCCAACTCTTCCTGGGAAGTCTGGAGATTAAACTCTAGAAGGAGTGGATCTGGACCTTGAAGACTTAAAAACCCAACCTATTGGAGGAGAAGGAGTGGATATGGACCTTGAAGGCTTCAAGTTCGCTGGGGGGCTGGGGCAAAACAGCAGCACAGGTCCATGGGAAAGAGCAGTGTAGAGCTTGGGATGCAGCTGGGATAGCAGAATTATTGTCACTGTTACTTCCAGAGAGGATTTGGCCACACAGGGCTTTGGCAAATAAGGTGTGATGTTGCCGGGCAGGGGGGTCTCAGTCTCTCTTTTTTCGTGGCTGCGGGTGTAGGCGGCTCCAGATCAGCGGGTCTGTGGTGGTGGCGGGTGGTGCCAGGCTCTGTAGGCGGTTGTGGGCGGGCCCTATGTCAAGCTGTAGGGGGCTCTGTGCCAAGCTGTGGGAGGCTCTGGCCGGCTGCGGGTGTAGGCGCCTACAGATCGGCGGGATCATGGCATTGGTGGGTGCAGGCAGGCTCTGTAGTTGGTTGCAGGCGGGCTGTGTGTCAAGCTGGTGAGATGCGCTGCCATCACTGGTCTGACAACAGAACTGTTGTTTGAAATTCTCCCCTGCTGGAACATGAAGATGATGAAAAGGGCCCTGGCCACCCAGGTGAAATCAAATGTTTTTGATTGCTTCCGGAATAGCAAGGATCTTCAATTGGCCCTAAAACAGAATGTGTCCACATTTGAGGTACATTATCGCTCCATGGCCTTGAGGCCCAGTGAAGGGTTGGGTGAGTAGTGCCTAAAAAATGTCGGTATTTTCCCTTGGTTAGAGGCACGCCTTGATTAAAGAGCTGAGGGGACTGGAAATACAGTCCAGGGATAGAGCACTTGCCTAACATGCACAAGGTCCTGGGTTCAATCCCGAGTACTGCAATTAAAAAAATCTATCAGAAATAAAGAGGTGATCTGTGTCAAGTACCAGCAGCTGATTGGTTGTTGACTGCCTTCCTGAAAAACCTTTCCTGTTCTTCTCAGCTCACTGTCAGGAGGAAGAACTCCATGAAATGGAGGGTGAGTTGATGGAGTGCCACATCCTTCGCTTCTGTAGTGCCACATCCTTCGCTTCTGTAGACCTGTGATGCAGAAAACAGCCTATGAGCTCTGGTTCAAGGACCAGAATAAAGTCCTGCATTTGAAATGTGCCCAGTTTTTGGAAGAAAGCGCTCATCGATGCAACCACTGCAGAAACAGAGACTTCATTCCTTATCACCACTTCATAGTGGACGTTCGACTCAAAACTTTGGGCATAGATACAGTTAAGAAGATGGCAAAATCCCAAGGATTATTAAGTAAACTTGCTTCCTTCCTAACCAACCGCAACTCCTCCTGGGAAGTCTGGAGATTAAACTCTAGAAGGAGTGGATCTGGACCATGAAGGCTTCAAGTGCCCTGGGGGGCGGGGGCAAAACAGCAGCACACGTCCATGGTGGGATAGCAGAATTATTGTCACTGTTACTTCCAGAGAGGATTTGGCCACACAGGGCTTTGGCAAATAAGGTGTGATGTTGCCGGGCAGGGGGTCACAATCTCTCTTTTTTCATGGCTGTGGGTGTAGGCGGCTACAGATCGGCTGGTCCGGGCCGCGGCGGGTGCAGGCAGGCTCTGTAGGCTGTTGAGGTTGGGCTGTGTGTCAAGCTGTAGGGAGCTCTGCGCCAAGTTGTGGGAGGCTCTGGCCGGCTGCGGGTGTAGAAGGCTACAGATAGGCGGGTCCGGGTGGCGGCGGGTGCAGGCAGACTCTAGGCGGTTGCGGGCGGGCTCTGTGTCAAGCTGTAGGGGGCTCTGCGCCAAGCTGTGAGAGGCTCTGGCCGGCTGCAGGTGTAGGCGGCTACAGATAGGTGGTCCGGGCGGAGGCGGGTGCTGGCAGGCTCTGTAGGCGGTTCAGTGCGGGCTCTGTGTCAAGCTGTAGGGGACTCTGTGCCAAGCTGTGGGAGGCTCTGGCTGGCTGCGGGTGTAGGCGGCTACAGGTCGGTGGTTCCGGGGGGCGGCGGTTGCACGCAGGCTCTGTAGGCGGTTGGGGGTGGGCTCTGTGTCAAGCGCAGGAAGCTCTGGCCAGCTGCGGGGGGCTCGCCGTGTACGTGGGTCGTTGGCCACCGACCCGCGAGGACAAGGGAAACAAGAGACGAACCCACTCACCCACCCCCCACCCCCGCCCCAGGGGAGACTGATCACAGGCTGGTCCCAGGCGCAGTGAAACAGTTCAGCACTAGACAAAGTGAAAACAGCTCAGCCAGATTTAGTGATATAGCTCTAGCCAAGTTTAGTGATATAGCTCTAGCCAAGTTTAGTGATATAGCTCTAGCCACGTTTAGTGATACAGCTCAATTTATAAGGGGAAAAACTAGAAGATTTATAGTGTGGAGGCAGTAGCAAAAGCCTCTGTTGATAGGTGTTTATAGTATGTTTTATTTATATGTGGCGGTGGGCTTCTATCCCCCAGGCTGTCAGACAGTGTCTGATTACCATATAGAAAAAATCTGGTAGTTTCTATGTCAGGGGTCATGTTACCGGTCTTCTTCCTGGCTACCATGCATTGCCTAGCTGTGTTTCACAATATCCGCCCATCATGGTGGACTGCCTTATCACAAGCCCAGAAATGCAGAACCAGCCTACCACAGGCTGAAGCCTCTGAAATGTGAGTCAAAATAAATTCCTCCTCTGTTAAGTTTCCTCAGGTATTGACTTGATAACAGAAAAATCTAACATACAAGTCTAATCCCCAGTGTGTCAGTAGAGTAAGAAAGTAATTAACAGTGAAAGATATCATAAAGGTGGAACACTGACAAAACAGAATTAGTGTCTTTTAAAAGTACCTTAGAGCTTACTTTCTCTCCCTTCCAAGTAGCACAATGAGAAGGTAGCCATCAAGAGGAGAGCCTTCACCCACCAAGTTGACTACTACGAGCCTGGATTTCTCTGCCTCAAGAACTGTGAGAAGATAAAATTTTATTTCTATTATTTAAACCACCTAGAATATAATATATGGTGGCAGTCTGACAAGGTTAATACAGTATACAGTAAACTTTTTAGCTTCTCATTAACAACTGTTCAATAAATGTTAATCTGATGAGCAAAATCTTTTAAGGTTAATTTGCTTATGAAAGGAAAATTAAAGTTATTTCTTGCTGCCTACCTTAAAATGTTTGAGCCAGGAAAGTTTTACCTAGGAAGGAATGTAGAATGTCATTTATTGTCATCATTTTTAAAGAAATTTGTTAAAAGACAAAAAAAAATTGTATGTGTCCTAGCTATTTCTCAGGAAATGTTCTTGGAAGTCAATTAAATTGAAAACTGCTAGAATTTGGATCTGGAATGTCCCCTGAGGCCTGGGTGTTAAAAGTTTGGTTCTCAGCCCATGGTCCTACTGGGAGACAGTGCAACCTTTAAGAGTTTCACTGGTAGGAAGTGTATAGGTCATTGAGGAGGGCATCTATATCCTGGACATTCCTCCAAAAAGCTATAGTTGATCCAGGGCAAGTATGGGTGATGTGGAGCACACTGGGAAAATGGGGTGGAGCTGCCACCATACTGAGCACGGGCGAACAGCAAGCAAGGACAGCAGGCAGGAGGCAGATGGCACATGCATTTCAAA